AAAATACGGTATTAAATAGTCTAGGGAGGTAATAGGTCCTCATGAAAGTTTAGTATCACAACAGCAAATCCGACCAAAGTTGAGGTATTTTTCAGACTCTTATCCCTATATAAAACTAATAATAAGATAGTCCAGGAAAAGAAAACAACTTCCATTTATAAGACAAAAGGAGTTATTTTCTCCCTTTTAAAAAATATTGTTCTGAGGTTAGAGTGTAGGGCATATATGCTCTAGTTTCATTTTTAATCTAAAATAGTCGAATCTCAATACAAATATTAAACCTCAAAAAATATCACATTCATGCAATTAAAAAAATGTGATATCATATACAAGACGTAAGAAATCTAAACGTAGGGAAAACGATGTTTCATTTTTGTCAACTTTGACTAATTAGGATAAGTAGATATTAAGTTTTTTTAATTACTTGCAAGAAATGTCTTTTAAAGAAACCTAGTATGTTTTGACTCTTTCTTCTTTTTAATTAAGTAAATATTTTTATATTAATGCTTATTAATTAAGTGGTTTACGATTAAGTGAGAGCAAAGACAAATAGTTGAGTTGGATTTAAATTATTATGTAATATAAGGCAATCGTACGAATATGGATTAGTCAAATTAGTATATATCAAATATTGTATGAAAAAAAATGACACCAAGACAATCTTAATTAGTCATATCAGTAAATATTTATTCCACCAACACAATAATCGACTTTTAGCAAAATGATTTGGTGCATAAGTGGTCACAAGTGCAAAATTATACAATATATATACTGATAAAAAATGATAGTTAATTCATAAAATTAATTGAGGTGCATACAAATTTATTTGAACATTGTGATTATTTAAAAAAATAATAATATGATGTCTTAATTGTCCTTGTCCTCCCTAAACGACTTTCTTGTTATCTATGTACTATGTTATAGTAATTTCGTGCAAGAAACATCCACCTATATTGGCACTTATAATTAAGAAAGTTTAATGTAGCACGAAACAAACATTGACTGATATTTTTGAAAGGTGAAAATTTATAAGGATTTAATATTTATACAAATTTGATAAATACATAACATATATTTTTAACTTATATTCTTATTAGTAAACGACAGTTAATTACTATACATTTTAACCTTAATAGTTGACTTGATCAATGATAATAGGATTTTTATTTTAACCAAATCATACTGTTTTAAAAAGAGTTTTATAAAGAGTCTTGCTTAGTGACTCCCCCAATAGCTAGTATATTAATAATTATTTATATTTGTCATCATTATTTCAATAGAAAAATATGCAACGTGTCAAACGTTATTTCCATGGAAAAAAAATATGCAATTTGTCAGACATTAAATTCAATAGAAAAAAAATATATTTTTGTGTCAATAATTGAACCAAATTGTTGGGAGATTTATATTCCAAAGAACTCTTATTTTTAATATAGACTCTTCTTACTTAACCACTTTTGCCTCTTCCTTGTTTCCTATGAGTTCGATGCTATTTTCGAAGTAAATATTATTTGTCATAATTTTAAATTTTAATTTGAAATCTAATTTTAAACTTTTGCCTCTTGCTTGTTTCCTCATTGTTAATTTTTATTTTTCTTTTTATTATTCTGTATATTAAATTTATTGATCTGACTAATTAAGATTATATTTACTAGACTAATTAAAATTATATTTACTAGGTTCTCTAAGGAGTAAAACGTTTTCCCTCGAATGTTTCTTATATTTTAAAACTCAAATTTAAAACTTTGATTTAATAATCACAATTATTCCACCGCATTTTGGAGTTACTTATCAAGGAATAAGGTTTAAGGATTTGTATCAAAGCTATCAAATTATTTATTCGTATATGTTGAGAAAATTACTAAATACTTAAAATCATTATAAAATTCATAAAATTTAAAATCAAAATCCATCTCTAAAAACTGATAAATTATACACGAAAGTGAGTGTTGTCATATCATTGTGTTTAAATGATTAGGTATCAGGGAGTTTATCTCAAACAATAATCCAAGTATGTTTATTATTTTAATTTTTAATAAGAAACACTAGAACATGTTTTTCTATCAACAGAAAATAGCACTTCAGATTAAAATATGTTATCTTGATATTGTTCTATCTTTATACGAACAAATTGATTTTTATATGTATCACATGATCAGAGTGTCTATTGAAATAGTAATTCTATGTAATATATATAATTTTATTTTATTTTACAAATTCCACTTATAAAACATACACGGAAAATACTTAAAATATGAAATTCTTATTTCATTCACCAAAATTTTAAAATTAAGATGTCATTAATAAAATTGCATCGAGTACTGCTAACTAGGCCTTTGAGGCCTAACTTGGCCAAGTTAGGGGCAAGAGTCGGTTGACTAATTTTCGTAAAACACTTAAAATCTTGAATATCTATTTTGTGACATAGTAATTATGAAAAAAAGAGTATGCATAACGACTTTTATACGATACTCATTGCCTCTATCGGCTAACATCACTTTTTTGGAATTTCTTAGTGACGAAACAAAAATTCAAGATTATCTCAGACTTTTGTGTATAATAGTTCATGATTTTTTTGGAATATGACTGATCGATTCCTCTTAACCCCAATTTTTTTAGCTCCATTCGAAAAATCCTAGTGTAATATCTCATTGTTTCTCAAGAATTGACGTCCCGTTCTTTTGAGTTTCCAAGTCGCAAAATGAAAAAAGTTAAGATTATTTCAAATCTTCGTGTGTATTAATTCATGAATTATTTGAAATATGACTGAACGCCTCCATTTGAACCCAAATTTTATGGATTCATTAATCACAACCTAATGAACGACACCAATTCCCTTTACAGGATCGACATCACTTTTTTTTTTTTTTTTCGAGTTTCAGGGTCAAGTATCAAGAAATCAAGATTATTTATGTTTTTTCATATGTATTAGTCTATAAATTTTCCAAAAATATGACTAGCCATCTCTACTTTACCCTAATTTTTGTAAGTCCATTCATGACGACCTACTGAACATACTCATTGCCTCTACAGGACCAATGCCACTTTACTAGAGTTTATAGGTCAGAAAGCAGGAAGTCAGGATTATCCAAGTTTTTCATGTGTAATTATCCATGATTTTTTTTAGAATATGACCAACTGACTCCATTTGACCTCAAATTATGTTTGACAAAACATTCTAAATAGTAGTAACTACAATAAAAAATACGATAATCGAAGTACAAGAAGCATGACACTACCTATCATGAGAGTTCAAAGTTCAAAACCAAATTCAGACTGAAGATCAAGATTTGCATTTCCAATTAATAAATCAAGTCTGTTGAATGGAGAAACAACTACATTCCCAGATTTTCTCATGTTCATTTACATGAAGAAAAAAAATATACTGATCATCAAAAGGGAAAACGAAAAAGAAAAGGAACGAATACACGTGGTGATCGATGGCACTATACACATGATTTCCTTCCTCCGACTTCCATTGCTTTTTCACTGAAGTTTGAATAGCCAAAAACTGGGAAATTCTTTGTTTTCGACTATCATAACTTGATAAATGCAAGTGACACTACACAAAACTGTTGGAAAAACATACTTACACAACCTGTGGCTGGGCTGGGCATCATGATCTGTATACCCATCAAAGAATTAGTACTTCAGTTCCACATTGATCCTTTAACTTTCTAGCATTCTATATTACCGTGTCATCTGGGCCTTTTGCTATATTGCCAAAATGAAGCAGTTCAGATAAATGGTTCTACAAAAAAAATTAACACGCAAAGTTATTAAGTGTGCTTAAAGATTAGTAGTTTTTTCTGAATTTTAGGAAAATAGGATGACAAACTTACTCATTAATGAGGGATTTGAATAAGAATAAAGGAAATGCTGTATAAACACACAGAAATCGCGACACCAGCAATAAAGTTGTGGAGCAGCTTCTGATTGTCTCTTGTGGGTACGAAAACGGATTTGAGTGTGTTGGTTAGTTCAAAAAGCCTACATGATAGCTGCAATAAGCAAACAATGTTTAGATAGAACCCAAGAGGAGAAAAAATGGTTTACAACTCAAAATTGAAAAGAGTATATATGCTTACCAGAACATAAATTGCTGTAGTCAACATGAAATTAAGCATAGGATAGCCCGGGATAAACGAAAGGAGCCATTTAGGCTGTCCATTCGGCATATTTGATCTACACATAAAAGTCAGAAAGTAATAAGTCCTCGTAGCATGTAAGTTCAAAAAAAAAAAAAAAAAAAAAAAAGAAGTTCTCGTAGCATGTTGCTAACGTCCATGAATAATAAACTAACAATTGAGAGAATGGAGAAAAGTAGGTTGCCGTTGGCTGGACGGATGGATGCTAAACAACAAATTAGTTTGAAATTTGGATCAGTATCAAATTACTGACAGATGAAGAGATCAAGGATTTTTTCACATCTTTCACTCACAGATGCCAAAATTGAACAGAACAGTAGATACAGGTTTCAACCTAATCTAAAAACTTTCACGGTTCGGAGATGTTATCATGTTAATTTAAATATCATTTCTACATGATGCCGTAACCATAAGAGTTGTCGCCATTTGCCAGGAGGTTATGGGTTAAAAGCCGGTGAAACAACCTCTTGCAAAAATGCAAGGTAAGGTTGCATAAAATAAACCAAATGTGGTCCGGCCTTGCCTTGAACCCTGCGGATAGCAGGAGCTCACTGCTATGATGGCATATCAACAGGTCAAGATTGAACCAAGGGAGTAATTGTCAATCTTAAGAAGAAAATTGAAATGAACATACCTCAGCCAGATGTGGAACTGGGAGATGTAGGTTTCTAAGGTAATTTTCCCAAGCCACCTACAGTAACAGACCACAGTTAAACAAGGAGAAATCAAAGTAGATTCAACTTATTTAAAAGAACAAATAAAGATCTTTAATTCTGTAGAGCTTAACCGTTAGTATCAAAACTAAGTGAAGGACGATTTAAAAGCCACAAAAGCAAAAAAGGGAAGACATGATGGGGTAAAGACAAAAGACAGGAAAGGGAAGCATGATGTCCGGTGATTATAATTTATAAGGCGCTGCCTAGTGGTTTACAAACTTACGCAAAGAGTGTCAGAGAGAAATTCCGCAGCTCCTGAGTCAAATTACGCAAGCATATGTATACACTGTGAGGCAAAGAAAGCAAATGAGAAAAGCAATACAAGAAATCAGGAAACAAACTTCGGTTGAGTACATTATAGGCAAGCAGGGAGCTTTTCGACTGTTAGTTCTTCACTAAATCAAACAAACAGCAGTAATTTACATTAGTATAAGTTTCATGTAAAATCAACAGATAAAGAGAATTAGAAATGTTAAACACATACGTAATAGGAATCCATGATGTGTAGGGGTGGAGTTTGTTGTAAGCTGTCTTGTCCAGCTTGTATATGTATTCAAACCACAAGTACCCGATCTGAGGAATACAATGTCCCAAATGACAAACTTCATAAACTAAGAAGATAATTTGCAACACCTGATTTAACTGATCTGATGAACTTAAATGCAACTCACAATTAAAGTTACTGCACAGATGGATGACTTAATTGTCCGTCTCCGCTTCGATTCAGACTCCTCCAGTTTCTCCATCCACTTCTCAACCTAAAAGGACAAGATACTGCAAGCTTCAGTCCCATGGAAGAGTGAAAGAAAAGTGGGACAAAGAACGAAAATGCAAAGCTCTTTTGAATTACATTTGGGTGAAAATAGGCATATATCATGCCAATAATCCATATATAGCGGTCAAGCCCAGATCTAAAATGCCATTCATGCAATCGAGGGAGATCCGGCTTGGCTGGATCAGTATAGCCTACAATTGTGAAAAGAAGAAAACAAGCATCAGATGACAGTGCTTAAGCAGCATCTATAAATTAAAAAACAAAATCCAGGATATCTTTTTGAATAAGTACTTTACAAAAAACAAAATCCAGGATATCTTTTTGAAAAAGTACTTTACAATTCATGCTACCTCAATAGGATACCAAGATACTCTATTACAAAAACAATACCTGAACCTAAAATAAGCAGCTTTGAGCATGACACTAGTCAACATTTAGTTCCACATAGTGATGGATCCCATCAAGACAACAATCTTATGCCACAAGAATCTCAACCCATATCTACTTCCATTTTTTTGTTATATCTACTTCCAAATTATTTATCACAAAGACAGTTAAAAAAATTCTGATGCCAAAAACTCAAAGCCAGTATAATATTTCCTTAAGAGTAGAGAGGAATGTTCATATAAACATAGTTGAACTGGCTTTGAGACTAAAGCCAACAGTTTTCCAGCACGCAGAGTATTTAAGAATTTATAGTGATTGTGGACAGAAACAAAATGTATGAGAATACAGAGTAACTAACCTAACATAAAGGCGAAAGGACCCCAAAGAAATTCGAACACCCCAGGAATCTCCCAAACCAAGATAACCACAACAAAGCACAAAAGAAACTTCAAAGCCATCACTGATTTTATCTCGTTGTATTTGTGACCAATGCCAAGGGCCCCATAAACCATCAGGGTAAAAAGTGTGTGCATCGGGCAGATGTAATACAGCATGTAGTCATTGTTGAGAACAATACAGCAAAATATTACAAAAAAATTCAGCCTCCACATCATCTGCATAAACGACAAAATGTTCACTATTAACAGTTCACAGAGAAAATGGATATGTGAGATTCAACTCTAAACTGAAGTCTTCCTATATAAAACAGTGATTAAGTACAACCAAAACCTAATGTTACCTGAGCAAACCGAGCTAGACTAAAATCCTTTCTTATGTAATAATAGGAGAAGTTCCCAAAACCAGTCATCCATACATACGCAGCAATGAAAATCCTAATTGCATTGTATATCTCTGTTGCAGCAAAATAATGATAAATCAAAAAGAGAACCTGTTACAGAAAAAAGATAGAGTGAGTCAATATAGAAAGAGCACAAATAAATCTCTACAGGGAGTAACAATGTTTAAATGAGATTTTGAGATATTTCCTCTGTCCAGGAGGTGAAGTTTTGAGATACATCAACAAATGAATTTTACACATCGCAAAAGAAGTTGCATCATTCACACGACACAAATTACTGGGAGGTAGTAAAATAAACATGCAGCTATATTAGTGCACAAGATAACTGGAGAAAAAAACACCATAAAGAAAGTATTGCAAAAAGAATCCATGTAAACCAGATTTATGTTATTCTAAAATGAAGCATGAATAAGTGAAGGGAAATATGACACAAAAACTTGCCTGCATCCATCCCTTCCACTCCTCTGTCTGATGGCGGTTAAGATAAAGTATTGATTTGCCAGAAAATGCTGATTTGTCATTATGTTTCTTGAGAGAAGTCATTGCCGAAACTATGATCAGAAGAATATACAGAAAGATGAAGAGATCACGATTGTAGCTCTGTTCAAAGAAAACATCACGCAAAAACCTGTTACAGAGTGCTGGTCGTCTCATGGATGATAAAAAAAATCTTAGAGGTCTCAGCAATGTGTTTCACATACAAACAAAAGTTGCAGCAACACAGAGATATTCGAAGATCAAGTCCAATAGAACTAGTCCACTATCACAGTTCATATTTGTCCTTCCATACCCACATAATTACAGGGAAGGGGGTAACAGAAGGTATAGACATTGAAAATAAATTATCCATAATGTAAATGATTACTTGCTTGTAAAGAATTTAAACATGAAAAAATTTAGTAAGACAATTACAGTTCGCCACAAGAACAATCATCAACTTTGAGAATCAGATAATCCAATCCTATGAAAAGGAATAAGGTTTAGACACAAGCATGCTTATCATATGCTAGTGTATTGTACCAATACTTTACAGCAAAGTTTGTTATACATGACCTAAACTTAGAAGACAACACGATAAAATTATGTTATAGAAGATGCAATTCCAACAGTTCAATCAAGACAACAAGGTTCAGGAGTTCATGATGCACACAGAAGAATCTGAAGTAACAAGTCATTTTGTCTGAACTGGCTTAGCATATACTTCATATGAATATGTAAAGCCCTGGTTATTCGATTGCACCTCAAAGTGCTTGTATGCGCTTATTCCATAAGGTGATCCAATAGTTGTTATGATGCAAACAGACTTACAGTTAGAAACAGATATCACACAGCACGACCTTAACAAATCAAATCTTTATACATTGTTACAGGAAGAGAAGATAACACACCTTAGTAGAATCTGCAAAGAGATTTGTACGGTCACAGAGATAATAATAAAACAGGATTCCCCCAAATTCAGATCTGTATGAGATCATAAGAAGGATTTTAAAATTAGATGAGAAACTATATGCACCATATTCAAAATATCCAAGTGACTCACATTGCTCTTAGAGTTGCTCGATTTTCTAGCAAAAATGCATCCTCCATTGTTAAAAACCTACAAATATGTGGAAAATGCTAAGGAAAGATTCATGAACTTAGAAAGTAGAATGTTCAGCAAATTGAATGTAGCACACTGACCTAATTATGTTTGTTTTTACCGATGAACTTGACAACTTCACAGATGCAGATTTTGACAGACCTCCTTCCAGTAAGACAGCTCGATCTTCTTCCTTGGTTGTTGAGATCTCAAGTTCATCCAGATTATTATCTGAATGACTGCTGGCATGAAAAATTCAACCATATAAATAAAACACTTCAAAGCAGATTAAGCAATATCCCTGGATAAATTATCGCCTACACAAAACAATCTTTACAGTGCTTAAAATCAAGATCCCCAAAGAACTTTTTGTCCTTAATTAAAAATTCAATTTTGCACAGGCATAAGATAGATGCTTCAATTTCAAGAAGTTCACTCTTTTTAACATAATAACAAGAACAGTAGTAGCGATAATTACACAGACAGTCAGTTTTTCTATTTTTTTGGTATATTACTTGTATACAAACTGGAGTCGGGGGTCTATTAGAAACAGCCTCACTACCTCCACAAGGTAGGGACAAGGTTTGCGCACACACCACCCTCCCCAGACCCCACTTGTGGGATTACATTGGGTGTGTTGTTGTTGTACTTGTGTATGGACGAGTTTGACCCAAGCATTAATGAAATATCTAATTAAAAATGATATAACATAGCATTCATATTCCACACACACTATTTTCAACATTGTTGACTCTATATTATCCACCAACATTTTGTAGCAAATGTATAACATAACATTTGTTTGCGTTATCTAGACGAGAATTGCTCACACATTAAATCCAATTCTGGTTTTTTAAAATAAAGCCATTAGATAGGATTTGGCAAGCGGCTTAAAGGAAGCGCACAAATGCTACAACTATCTTTTCCATAGTAGACTCAGGCACAGAAATAGACCAATTACTTAAAAAAAATATTTTTAAAAGTTTGATCTTCAATCATTGTGTTTCCTCCTATTAAGCATATCAAAAGAATAGCAGCCTATTTTTGATTCATTATATGATAAGATCTTTCAACAATTTTATGGCACTTAGCATGTCTCAGAAAATCTAGCTGCAACATGAGGATATATGAGTTTTCAGTTTTTTCCTTTTTCTTTTGGATGGCGAATGGATGGATTAACTTACACTTTAAAGGGGAACAACCACTTCTTGTACTCCAACCATTCAGCATATATCCATGCGATGAGGACAGGTATATATCCAAGCAAAAATGACACCTGAGACATGACAAGGGTAGGCTTCAGTAGATATCTACGCAAGATTTCCTCAAGAGCAAAACAAATAAAGCAAAACAAGATGTTCCACATTGCAGCAGCAGTACAGGTGCATTGAAACCTTAAAATGCAGGTACATGCTAGTCCAAACAAACTGTGAAAGAAAAATCCAGAATGACCAAATTCCACAATATGCAGATAGCACCTTCTTTCTGACACCCGAACCTTAATCCAACACAAGGCAAATTAACCCAAAAGGAAATGTAAGGAAAAGAGCACTCTGAAAATTTGCAAATGAGATATGATCTTATTGGATGTCACAAATGAGAGATCTGAGATTCAGTATCGCTATATAATTGTAACTGTGTCAGCCATAAAGTAAAACAATATACATTGTCATAAATCAGACATCAAGCACCTACTTCAACTTTTATTCTATGCGATGTCAAGAATTTATTTAAGGAGTGCTAAACGCTTTTCCTAGCAGAGGAAAGTTGTTAAAAGGCTTATATCTAGCCAACAATTGTATAATCCTGCACAACATGATCAATTCACACATACCTCAAACATATCGATTCACTACCTATGTGAGTTACTCACCCAAATTTCCCTTAAAATCACACAGATAGATAAACCTGAAAGTTTTCAGGTACCAAAGTGAATAAAAACCTACATTATTCACCTGAAAATTAATTTTTTTTATGACAAAGGAAACCCGCACTAGGCAAGCCCGATGTGATTAGCTCAACCCAGAAGGCAAACCCCTTCCTTTCGCTGGCAAGGTGTTTTGAACTTGAGACCTCCAATTTTTGAAGATCCAAAAGTTGCTCAAGTTGATGAGGAGTCAATTCTAAAGAGTGATCTTGCAAGACAACTCCATTCCTTGTAAAGAAACCTCCAGCATTACATTCTCCCAATTAACTCGGTTTGAATTTCTTTTGCATAGATGAGAGAAAGATGAGACCTATAGTTGGAACCCGAGTCTACTTATTGTTAATGATTGTTAACCCTTTGTCATTTTTAGCAGAGTCCACTTATTATTTTTGGCATGCCCTTTGCTCCCCTGGAAGAGAGTCCAGGACTAATCTTTAAGCAACTAATCCGTAAGGAAAATCAACCTTCCCCATAAAAGCACCAACTAGTGAACGATGACAGACTGGATCAAAGTCTATGAGGAAAATCTTTTTCCTTCAAAGAAATGACCAGCACAGAGAATGTACATAACACAAGCTGAACTCGTATGTCGTCAGCAGTTGACAATCAAGCCTAGGCAGTTAACTCACAGTTTTTTTCACTCAGAATTCAAACCCTACCTATGTTGTAAGATTAGGAGCTAATTAGCCTGCTCTGAAGTCAAGCTCTACTAGTAAGAATCAAAACATGAACAACGTGATGAAAACAACAAATCCATATGGCAATTGTATAGAATTGCTTGTACTTTCAAATCAAGTAAGTTCTTCACAACAAACTATCAAAGTCGTCCAGTGATAAACACGAGCAAGAACATAACAAGATCTAATATGTTTAAATTTCACACAGCTCAGATCAGCTTATCTCACTGATCTGAAATATCAAAATTCTGCATTTTCCTTTCGATAATTGTGGTGTTCAGGCCAACTTTCACGCCCCTCAACTAATCCCATACCTACAACCTCCCATCAACAACATGTACCAGGTAACTCTATCCACTAAGGCTAGAACAAAAATAGAAAGAAATCACCTACTATTTTAGTTTGAACCTTAGACCTCATAATCTCAAAGATCTAATATCAAAATTCCTTTTTTTTTGGATAACTGCGGTGTCCAGACTAGCTTTCACCTACGTTTGAACCTTAGTCCTCATAATCTCACTGATCTAATTTCAAAATTCTGCATTTTCTTCCAGACAACTGTAGTGTCCGTGTCAGCTTTCACACACCTCAACCAATTTCATACCTCTCACCTCCAATCAACAACACCTACCACGTAACTCCATCCATCTAGACTCGAACAAATAAAAAGAAATCACCTCGTAATTTTTTATCTCCTCTAGGTTTAAACCTCACACCTCATAGTTCTAAACCCACTTCATTGATCACTACACTACACCACACGCCACACCCATTTGTGCAAATTCTCCACATTTTAACTCATAACATATTCCAATTACACTTCAAACACTCGAAAAAACTCACTTTTTCATCAATACCTCAACAAAAATCATTATATCAACAGCAAACTAAAACAAAAAGCTCACCTGTCCTGGCGTTACAGGTCCAGAAACCGCCGGCATTTTCAAAAATCGTCAACTACGAAACAGAAACAATACCTCACCAAATCCAATCAAATCCGAATCAAAATTCAATTGTTCAACAATATATGTATATAATTCATATACAAAATCGAACGTATCATCAATATGTATATATTTACGAGAAGGATGAATTTATATATAAGAAGAAGATTTGAAATGAGCAGTTATAGAAATGGTGAAGAAGAAGAGATCTGAAGCAATGAAGGTTGAAAAAACGACGTCGTTTTGATGGATTGCTTCATCAATTGATAATTATTAGTGAGGTTTTTCGGAAGAGACGTCTCTATATTGGGTAGTTAGTAAAGTTTGGTACCTATTTTGTCCCTCGATATCCGATATTCATATCGAGGTTCAATTTAATTTAAATTTACATATTGTAATATCTATTTTTGGAAGGGGTTCTCTTAACATATTTTTATAATATAAATAAAGATTTACATGATGTTTAATAAATTGCATTGATCAATAATCAAGAAGAAATGTTGAGTATTATAGCATGTTAAAAGTTTTTTTTTTATTAGTGTTGTTATTGGCACTAATTAATTTGAATTTGTATTATGTAAAATCTATTAAAAAAGATATTATTTATGAAGATTTTTTTTTTCTTTACTGGCTTAAGTAGGAGGTCTTATTCATTTCAACAAATTTCTTGGTGGTGCAAAGTTTATATATTATTAGTATATATAACTTAAAGTTCAAAATGTATATTAATGTGATTATATTACTTATAAAGAAATTACATATGAATTATAATTATTGTATGATCAGCATTAATTAGTATAAAATGATAACTAACTTGTTATATAATTGAATAAGAACGTATTTGTATTTGATAGTTACGAAAATTCAATGAACATATGTTATATGTCTTATCACATACATTGTTATTAATCAAATATGATTAATAATACATATTTTACTTTTAATTTATTATTTAATAGTAATAAATTAATATGATTTGATAAAATCATGGATATGAATAAATTTCTAATGAGACAAATGAATTTGAATTATGGCCAAGTGCATTGTGATTATATCTTTCTTATAGGAAAACAAAATTGAGAAAAGAAAGCCATTTTGAAGGTGTTAATATATAAATTAGTGATGATCTCATTTTTAGTTTATTATGCAAAGAACTTCACCTAATTAAATAGAATACTAGAAATGTTGTTGACTAAATTCTATGAAATACACATTATTTTGTGGTGATATGATTTGTATAATTAGTTCATTTCTTTTTTTATTTCCTTCAAAACTTATAATCATCGTTTCATTAAGAAGGTAGTTAATTAAATCTTGTGTTACTGATATTTTTAATCTTGCATTTAATGATAATTTTTTATTTTAGTCCTTGTGAATAGTCACAATTTTTTTGAAGTGTTAATCGTCCAATACCATTTAATTTCTCATATGTTATGTTAAAGTTGTTTTATTACTTCATATTTGAAGATAATTGTATATTTTTAAAAAGTCTAAATATAAGTCATATTCTTATATACTCTAAGGACCGAAAACACTATTATTGCTTAAATATTTATTTCAGTTATCAATATATAGTATACCTATTAGAGAGCGTAATAAAGAACTTGAGATTCTCAAATAATGAAATTTGTCAAAAGTGATTATAGGTGAATTTCGTCTTCATAATTTATTGTCGTATTATTAAGATTTAAGACCACGAGAATCACAAATCACCGGAAATAGAATGTTTAGTTGTAAAAATAATAACAAATTAACAATAGATACAATGTATGAGTTCCTCTGATTATCATAATTAGTTCATAATATAATTCATTTGGTTTATGAGTAAAAATGAAGCAAAAAACCTTTTTTAGGTGTGCATATAAAAAAAGTGAAAAAAAGATCACGAGTTTGTTGGCACATCCAACAACTTAATTAACAATGACTAATTAAGATTAGTAAATTATTGGTGATGAGCAAAAATGATAATCTTGATCGCAACCATAATTATGTCATATATATTTTTTTTTCTTATGATTAGGTAGAACGTGGGTTTAATTTATGGGTTATTAATCTTTCGAATTATTTATTGGCTTAGAATACTATTAGCTACATATATTATAGGGATTTAACATTTTCAATCTCTCAAATATCTAACAAATTTTGATTTTATTCCTTGTGATTTTTTATTATTATTTTTTTGGGTGTTCGACAATAAAGTTTCGAATTCAAATTTTAAGATAAAAAATTCTTAATAAAAGTGATTTATTCTTTAATAAATTTTCCGTAACGTGAATTCAGATTAATCGAATAAGTGATAGCAAATACACGAGCATAAAGAAAAAAAAACATTTACTCCACATGTAATGTTGAGTATTAGTCAACATTTTTCACTTTTTTATTTAAAATTACAAATGATGCTTTAATATTTAAACAATTCAATTTGTTTTAGAAAAAAAATAGATACACAGTGTCTGTCCATCATCTCATTTTTCCAACTTGACTCAGAATATTTTAAATTACATTGATAGATAACATTTTACCAATATCACTAAAATCTATATAAATATATTTATTAAACTATATACATGTACACCACACCCTCTCTCATGTTCAATAAAAAAAAAATACTCATTTTTTTCCTGATCAGCATTTGATATTCATATTGGGATTCGACTAAATCTTGATTCTCAAGATTCATTTTTGAAGGAGGTGCTTCCAACATGATTCTTTTCAATTCTCAGAGACTCAAATACGAGACTTGATTAATGCCAAAGGAATCCCAACTATTCCATCACAATTCATACCGATCAATAATAACTTTCTATATAATATTAGAAAGAGTAATTCTTCCACAATTACCAGTGTCCAATCTCTCAAATTGTTTGTTAATCAGTAATATATCTCTTTTCTGTGAACTTTCCCAATTCCTTCAATTTGTATATCATATAATCTGATTTACTGTCAAAACACATAAATATAAAAATTAATGCATAGACAAATTTAGGTTATAAAAAGCCTATAAACAACTTTGAAAATAATGACTAATGAAAAAAAAACATTTTTATTTATAACTTGAAATTATAAGTGTATAATCAATTTCGGATTATAGTTATTCTGACTGTCGTATCATTTTCTTGGCCAAATACTTTTCTATGTCATCTCTGATCTCTTTTAAGAATAAGATTCTCTACTCCGCCTGTTTATGAAGAACTTCGAATCTATTAGAAAATTAAGGATATATTTCAAGCTTTATCACCACAAACATATAAAACAAATTTTTGAGACTAGGAGTTTATAAATGTGCTTGGATATGAAGCTGAAAATTATGTCAATTTCAAAGAATTATTCAGAAAAACAAAATAAAAAGAGGAGGAAAGGTTAAATTTTGTTGAGCGAGTTGAATTATAACCCATTATTTAACGTATCCGATGCAATTTATTTTGTTTGTTGCATCATTTGGATTAGGACATGTTTATTAACTTGATCATTTTTAATCTGTCTAGATTTAATTCAATCCGCCTATGTTTTTGCCACCACTAAATTTGACTTAAGAAATATTAGTAAATAGAGCAAAATTCTTGCAAAGATGTGAAAATGAATGACTAGCTTCTTCCTTTTTTCCTCACACTAGTGTTCGATATTTGTTTTAGGGCTCAACTAATTTGAGTTCACGCAGAAAAATCTTATTTATGGGATAAACCACTCCCTACCTTAATCAATGATTTCAGGTTTCAAGTTCTAACCATAGAGTTGCCTTTAGTCCTAGTATATCCTCTATAATGGGATCTTCCAATACAAATTCAGATTAGTCGAGTCTCAAAAAGGTACCAAACACCAGATACGAAACCACAAATGAGAAAAACAAAAATAAAACTTTTACCTTACAAAACCATCATGAAACTGATCAACTGTCATATCTTGTTCCATCACCCATTTGTCTACTTTCCTTTGCCTTTCATCAACTCTAACTTCAACAAACAATATAAAAACTCTAACAACAACAATTATAGAAACAACTAACCAAATTGATCCAAAAATTCTTCCAACAATTGATTCAAACACCTTTGCACCATAACCAACACTAGTAACTCCCATAAATGAAAAATAAAATGAATCAAACCATCCAATTTTCTCAACAAAATGCATTAAAAAAACTCCAATTCCAATACATACCACAAAAATACACAATGCTAGTAGCACTTTACTACTTTTTTGTGTATCGAATAGCCTTTTATGAGTATTTTTTCGCGAATCAAGAATGTAAATAACAAAATTTGTTACTAAAATATGGTAAAATCCTAAACTAACAAGCGCAAATAAGATGGAAAATAATTTTGTAAGTGTACTATTTGGTGTTATGTCACTATAACCAATTGTACACATTGTGAGTATGCAAAAATATAAAGCATCAACAATTGGATGAGTCTTTTTGGACTTAAATTGATCCATAAAGAAAAAATATATGGATACACCGATTGTTAAATAAAGAAATAAAAGTAATATAACTTGTTTAAGAATTGTTGTATTTTTCAAAAAATGGGGTAGATTTGGAATTGGTGCTAAATGATTTTCAAGATTATTAAATGGGGTTATAGATGATGATGGTGTAGATTTGGACCTATGAAGTTTTCTCTTTGGTTCATTTAAAATTGGATTTGTGTTGGTTTAGTGATGAAGAAGGGAGAAGAGGCTTTTTTTCCATCTTGTTGCCTTGTTTTGGTTTGTTTGAATAACAAAAATCAAGTGATCTTGGCTTAGTATATAAAAATACTGATTTATAACTTGTTTGATCAAGCTATCGAAATCAGTTAATTTTGATAAGTATTTTTTATAATTAAAAATATTTTCCAAAAAATAAATAAATGGGAGAGTAATTAAGGGGATGACTCACCTCCAATAAATTAAAATGTCTAGTATTGTTTAATGCATTGCTAGACGCAAGCCATGTGTACAATACAAAGATCAAGGATCTTGATTTACTTGTATTAGTTGTTTTTTTTTCTACTTATCTTATCATCAAGATAATGTTTGAATAAAGTTAAATAAAATAAATATGATAATAGTTGACGATAATAGATGGTCCGATGATGATGATAATTGACAATAGGGATGAATAATGTATTTTACGAGGGTAGTATATATAATGAATAACACATTAAATGCTCGTGACAATGACAATGTCACTAATAGTAATTGTAAGTGATAGCTAGTAATGATTAAAGTTGATGGAAAAGATTAGCGATGGGGTTGAGTAGTGTAGCCATAGTAATAGATGTAAAGTGATAGTTGATGGCGGTGACTGATCATGAAGGTAGTTGTGTAGTGAGGATTGATTGTAGAAGTGGTTGACGATGGTACTTAGCGATGAAGGTAATTGATGATGTCTATCTAAAGTTGCAAACAAACAACAATAGTATATCCAATATAATCCCATAAGTGAGGTATTAGAATTTGAGTATAATCACTACTCCCAAATCAAAATGGAATTGATCTATGGCGATTTTCATAACAAATCAAATAAAGAGGAATTTCATTTTGTACCTCGTATAAAAAAAAATATATATGTCTGTTAACAAAAAGGGCAAATATGTGTATGCACCACTTTTTAACGAGTGATATAACTGCTCTAAATCGCAAAGTTAAAGGGATATATTTGCCCCTTTAGTTCAGAAGAATGAAATATGAACTACTGAAGTAATATAGATTGGGAAGCATATGTTCAAGTTTCAACTAAAGCAAAGTTTTATCACAAGTATATTTATGTGCTGGTTAAAACTATCAACAACCAAAAAAAATCTAACTTACAAGTTTCCCAGGCAACTAAAGAAACAATTCTCTCTCTCTTTTACTGGATCCATTGCGCCAATAAGCTAACGACAGCAGAAAGCACGTAAAGCAGTACCAAGAAACAACGGAGGGGTGTCGAGCTGCTTATGATAAAACAAGGATAACAGAAACATAGATTGTATAACTCAACCTTCACATGACTCTCCTCTGCATCACGAAAAACGTTTTGCTTGGAATCATAATGTGTCTCAAATCTGCAGTAGGAGAGAAATGTATGAATTGACAGATATAATCTGAAGAAGGTAAATTCCAATATAATATCGATTGAGTGTTGCTAAGATGAATGACAAAAAAGACGATCAGCTCAGTATCCTTGAAAAAGAAAGGCTACGATTCAAACAACCTCATTAATCTTCTAAATGTAGTAAACTTACGTTTCTGGAGTAGACCAAATCATCCTACATCTACGGCTCTATGTTCTGCATTTGTTTCAATAGTATAACAGACATAACGTCCCCAGCAGTCCGATACTCAGAAGTACTAACAAATAGAATGTCGATAGCATGCTTTTGAAATGGAAAAAACTATGCATCCGGCGTACTCCAACTAAGATAAAATATAAGAAGTTGCAAATTAGCCATAGATGATCCAGAAGTTAGTCAAACAGCTGATCAATATCATTCGTTTTAGCCTAAACACCCTCTAAATCGATTTGAAACGGGTGAGATCAGTTTCAATGAATAACTTACAGACAAAAGCCAAGAAAAACAATATTTTGTAGCCCCACAGAGGAAAAAAAGAAGAAGGCTGAGACAGAATTATCAGAACCAAAGAGCTAAAAGATGAGGCTGCAAATTAAGTCTAATGGCTCTTTCCGTCAACTGCCAAATCCTCAACACAACAAGAAGATCGTAAATTAAGTGCGGATTCAGTGACAAAGATGAAGTTGAAAACTCATCTTGCTGTTCTAAACAATGATCATAAGCACCATTGCCCTCGAAGAACAGGATGAAAAGCGTTCAAGAAACGTCAGTAGTAATTATTTGTATCAGTTTCCTTCCCAAGTAAGACATAAAAGCCGTACTCACCAAGCATTCTACGTACAAGCTTATATTGCATAGACTTTATAATTTCATATTTCGTCATCATGATGATGTTCCATTCTGATTAGTTGCTTAGTTTACTTAAACTGCTAATCAGGATCCATCTGAAAGTAGACGTCAAATGATTGGCTTATGATAACTTATATCTTATTACAAATCAAACCCCACGACTCCACCTTATGTACAGAGGCGTAGGTAGAAGACCATGTATGAGTTCGGTTGAACCCAGTAGCTTTTGCTCAAACAGTGTATTTGTGTTGAGAAATTCATTAAATTTAGAACCCAGTTATTAGCACTTAAGTCTTCGTTGTAAAATCCATAACCCATAAAGTTGAAGTCCTGACTCTACCCTCTACTTACATATGAGCTCTTCTATGGGTGGCATGGCGAAAAGAAGTTTCTAAATAGAACAACACTGATGCTCCAGAGAAAGCAATCCTATGTCGTAAAACAGCAGGAGTCACCAATCTTTCCTGTTTAGGGAGAATTAACGGACACTGTGTATAGTTGCAAACAATCTTCACTTAAAAGGTTGCGGATATGACATGATTGTATTATAGAACCGCCATCAATTGGGTGCATTTCAATCAGACATAACCATGAGCTCCAAGAAAGTGCAGAACTAACAAATCATTGAGTTTAGAGAAGTAGGCAGAGTTTTCACGAGAACGTGGATAGAAAGCAGCAGTCAAACTACAAGGTACCATTCAATTAATGCCAAAAGCCAATAGCACAATTTTCAGATTACGAAGCAGTTAATATTACATCATCAAAGATCAAATTCACAAGGAACACGAAAAGGTCACTAGTAGCTAGATCATTTAACTGATATGAGCTATACATTCTTGTTCATATATACCTTCGCTATGTAAAAAAACCGTTGTGCCAAAAGACCAAAAAAATTGAAAGAATGGATTTCCAACCTGAAGTTATTTATTCGATCCTGCAAACACCTCAAACAAGCCACAGCAACTCTTCCAGGAAGTTGTTTGCACTGGTCGTGGATCCAAAGCTACTAGTGGCTGCATATTTACAAAAAAGGAAAAGTTTACATGATGGTTATGATCGATTCGAAAGAAAGGAAGGAATAGTCTGTATTTCCCCTTGGGGATTTCCGGGATCATCCCATATGAAGGAAATCCAAAAGTAACTCACATTTTTGGTACTATCTCATGGGAATTGAGAGAATAAATTTTACTAAAATAGTTTCGTAGCTTCTGAGGTATTATAAAATGAAATTTTGATGTAGTAGAAAGAATAAACTGCCAGGCGCGTAGAGAATTATCATGACACCGTATTAATAAAAAGCTAGAGAAGAAGTGGTAAACCTGATGCTCATGGGGAGAACCTTCCATGTCGTTTGCACGAACACCAGCATCAACTGCAGGCTCATCGTACGGAATCTCTAGTTTGTCGTCATCCTTTACAGCCTTGGAGGGCTTTGCATTTGAAGTTGCTACAGCTTCATAGTCCCTTTTCTCTAATCCTGTATCCACAACAACGTCTGACATTGTGGGTTTCTCATCGATAACACCCATTTCTCTCTTCTCATTTTCCTTCTCCGATGATCCAAAGGCCACATTATCAATATCTGAAGCGCTTGTGGCAACCCGAACTATGTCCTCCGACATAGCAGGTTTGCTGCTGCTACTTGACCTCCTTCGTAAGCTTCCTTCATGAGGCAATTTCGCGGGTTCAACACACTCAATGTTAATGTTATTTCTCATAGATTCATCCTCAAGCTTCAATTCTCTTTCGACCTGAACGATACCCCCCTCTACCATTGCGACTTTATTCACTTCATTACTTCCTTTTTCCAATGCATTTGATTTGTTATTATCAATCGACGACTCACTATGTGGAATTTCCAATAGCTTTTCTCTAGTTCCCTCTTTATCATTGAACTGGTGATCTTGAGAAGTCGAGTAACTAACATCCCCGCCATTGGTCTCTTTATTACCACCATGTTTCAAATCCTCTTTACCTGTCATAGATTTGTTCAAGCCCAATGATTCAACACAGAAGTACATCTTTTCGCAAATTAGCAATCACCCGTCAAGTGATGCAATCCAAAATAACAGAACGATTCGATGATCTAATCAAATAATCGTACTATGGTTCAAGAGGAAGTAACACTATACATGTCTGCTGAAAAGCAGACAACAATGAAAGTAGCCTGAATGTAGTTATTAACTAATTATTACAGCAAAAGAAATCATGAAGTGGGATGGCACAAATAAACACAAAACAATACATGTATAATAAAGACTGATAACTTACAACAATGATTGAGAGACATAAAGGTAAAAAAGACACGACGTAAGCAAAAATGCAGAACAAGAGAAAATAAGCCAAATCCACAAAGCCAAAGTTGAGAGACAGATCAAACTGTAACGGTCTAGGAGATAGAAAAATGCTTTAAAAGTTGCAGACAGGGGTATTCCGTTTGATTAACTTAATCGTTAAAACTACCAAAAGACAAGAAATGACTTTCCGAAGTTGTAATTTTCTTTTACAACCATACCAATTCCTAGTTGATATCACATAGTTCATTTCAATCAACAATTAGCTATTGTTCTAAACTATGACTACTCACAATTTAATAGTCGCGGAGCCAGGAATCTTAACACGAGGATTCATAGAAATACAAAAAGAATATTGCTTTTTACCGTAACATGCATAGTGTAATTTCCAGACGAAGGGATTCAACCAGAGGCGAATCGTGCACTACCAAAGAAAGGAGAATAAAATGCATCAAGTGGGAATTGATTCTTGTACTGTTAGGTAAATAACTTAGCTTTCAACCACCTAGTTTTACGAAAAGACCACGGGGTCACGTGCACCATAAACTACCTAGTAAATTTGCCCCTAGATTCAACTGAACCCCTTCCTTACCTTTAGCTATGCCATTCCTCACAAACATGTCATTTTTTTTCGGTTTAACCATTAGGTACTCTTTGGAACTGAGGCGAAATTGTTGTAACCATTAACTCACACCTCAACTAATCCGAATTGGCACCGCCTAGGACCCACTAAAGGAGGTCTCATACCTTTTCTTACAACTTGCAGGACTACCATATTTCATTCCACTTTTTGTTATCACCAAAAGAACTCTTTTTTTTCCAGATAACTGTAGTGTCCGAGCCAGTTTGCGTTCATTTCCAAAAGAACACAGATGATACATTTTCTAAGAAAAGTTTATTCTTTTCACGGAAAACATTTTCCTTCATGTCAAACGCACCATACTCAATATTACCTCTACACTACTACTCCGTCCGTCAGTCCAAATTTAAAAACATGTGCTCATCATCACTAAAATGCATTAAACTCACCCTATACATGTTCATCAAGGCTAAAATGAAAGGTTTAAAGTTAAATTATTTCTAAATAACAAAAAAAGTACCACACATAAAAAAGGCACTAATCTCACCCAATACGTGGGATCTGCCAGGGGATCGAACCACAAGAATCTATTATAAAGAGTCTTAAACCTACATTTTTTATGCCATAAACAAGTGTTTCATTAACACTAAAATAAAATTTTTGAAGTTAAATTATTTCTGAATAACAAAAAAGTATTGACACATAAAAAAGACAACTCCGCCCATTACACTAAGCTCGCGATATGCACAGAGTTCAAAAAAGATTACACCACAAGAGTCTACTATACCCAAAAAAAATAAAATTGATGTCATATACATATTTATCATTATGGCTAAAATTGAAAAAAAAAGTTAAAAGTATGTCACATAAATCGAGACAACAGAATAAATAAATGAACAGACTTAATGAAAAGTACCATACCATGAGACTGAGAATTAACAGCAATAGCAAAGCTTGATACTTGTGGAACATTATTATTATTATTGTCATTATTATTATTTGCTCCCAATTTCTTTTTTTTCTTGGAAGATTTTCTCTTTTTGGAACCTGATGGCATAATTTTATATGTATACAAATAGATCTTTCTCAATTGAAAAAAAAATAAAAATAAAAAACTGTTTGTTTCTCTCTTTTAATCTTTGTTGTGTGAAGCTATTGGCTATGGAGGATTTTGGGTAAATTGGAGAAAAGTAGTAACAGATTTTGTAGGGAAACGAAGTGTTATTATTTTTTGTTTTTATTTATATTTCAAACCTATTTTGGCCATTAAATATTATTTATATTTTCTCGGAATAATTATTTTACTTTTTACTTTATTTATAAATGGAAAAAGACTCAAATATGTTGTTGAACTTTGAGAAAATATTCATCTATATCATCCGTTAAAAGTTTGGTTCATTTATATCATTTTTGTTTGAGAAAAGATTTATCCATGTCATTATTGTTAACTAAAAAAAGTTTCGATATTGCAAAATCATTTTTCACTCGTGGTCAATTATGATTCGGCCACGTCATTAATTAAATTATTTTTTAAAAAGAAAAGGAAAAATGCATAAGTACCCCCAACCTATGCCCGAAATCCCAGAGACACACTTATACTATACTAAGGTCCTATTACCCTCAAACTTATTTTATAAATAATTTTCTATCCCTTTTCGGCCTACGTGGCATTATCTTCTGGGGCCAACGCGTGTTGACCATTTTTTCAAGCTATCTGGTTGATAGTGCCACGTAGGCCAAAAAGGGGTAGAAAATTATTTATAAAATAAGTTGGGGGGTAATAGGACCTTAATATAGTATAAGTGTGTCTCTGAGATTTCGGGCAAGAAAATTATTTATAAAATAAGTTTGAGGGTAATAGGACCTTAGTATAGTATAAGTGTGTCTCTGGGATTTCGGGCATAGTTGGGGGTACTTATGCATTTTCCCAAAAGAAAAAGACTCAAATATGTCATCGAATAGCATAAATGAGCCACACTTTTAAAGGAAAATTTAATGACTATATAAAAATAAATAAAAAGTAAAAAGGAGTAAATTCATCCTACTATATAAGTCCCAAACCTATAATATAGCCATTAATAGGTTTGGTAAAATTTGTTACCTATATAATAATATTCACTCTTCTAAAATAAAAAAATAAAAATCACACACACGCACACACTAGATTCAACAAAGATTTATAGCTAGTGGTCCAAAGAATTGCTAACCATTAAACTAGACAAAAACACATTATTATTATTATTATTATTGTTTAACAAGAAGTACAAAATTCAAATGGATTTAATTTTTTGTACTGACAATTTAAAAAATATTTACATGATCAAGTCATTAATTAATTAATTAATTAATTACATTTAATTTTGAATAACCAAAATATATGAATCGATAACTTGATAAAAATACTAACTAATTATCATGTTATAAGAGTTAATTTACGATACTAATTCGTGTACATAACTTTTTTAGTATATCCACCCTTTAATATTGAAGATAGTTTTAGAAGAATAGCCCACAAAAGCTTTAATTACTTGAAATCAATAACATTTCTAGAAGGAGCTAAAGTTACATATTGCGTTTTTAATTAATGTAAATAAAGTAGACAATGTGTTATAACATTCCTTAAATTACATTTTACACTTAATAATAAGAGTTAATGGTAAAAAACATATCCGAGTTATTATTTTGTGAGTTTCAAATATTTAACTATCTGTTATTTTTTTAATTTTTTATATCTAAATTATCACCATCTATGTAACTCGAAGCTAATACTATGTCAGTTATTCTCCTTTTCTATTTGGACTATCACCATCTACTCGATTACGTGTATTT